CTTGATAAAAATAATATTAGTGACCGAAAGTATCAAGGCCTGTTCGTTTCTGATAGAGGCTTGCCTAACTATTCTAGCAATTACAAACAATGCTATAGCATTTCACAGTATCCGATTGTTAAGGTCGGCTAGCAATTTTGAAGCTAGGTGCTTCTGTGTATCGAAAAAAAGATATTCAAATAACGTAATTGACGATTTTCTCGCGAAAAATTTTGGCGCCGAGTGTTTTCGAAATAGGTGCGCGTTCAGAGTACCCCACAATGTACTAGCCTATACATGTGAAAAGAATGTCTAATTTCCAAAAAGGACTGATTATAAATTGAAGGAAGCAGAAATTGTGTTTCCTAAATTTACAGTCTCAGAATCCACTTTATTAATGATGTAGTCACGTAAGACACCAACTGCCAACTGCCAACTGCCGCGATCGTAGTTCACTCAGAGTCTCTCGAGTACGCGCAACCATTTCCGAAACTGAAAAACTTCAAGCAGACAAATACTCACCCGCCACCCCGACCACAGAGTCGTCCACTTAGCGTTTGAGCTTTAAAACGCTATCGTAGTAATACATAGGCGTCCGACATGAAGTATACGATGATTTGCCTTTTGTTAGCCTCAAACGATAAATGTCTATTAGATAGACCCAAATACTCTATCAGTGCTAGACAAATTTCGAATCGGACATTAGCCGCTACGATGTTTACGTAGAAAGAGAAATCGTTGTCGGCAATCACCCTCGGACTATTACAGAGAATTTAAAAAAGAGGAGGCTACTGCTTATGAAACTCCTAGCATATTACTGTCTCCGTCTGTACGCTTTGTGTCCCGTATATGGAATCGACGTGTATTTCATTATAATGGCAGTGTATTTTTTTCTAACGTAAGCCGGGCCTAAACAATTGGCGTCCAAATTTTAGAATTTGAGTTTTGATACCGGACAATTTGACTGTGTTACCGCCAGCCAACGATACAGCTGTGGAGGCCTGCGAATAATGGAGGCGTACCAATAAGCAGGATACGTAGGATGAAAACTTATCGAACCAATGTGTGACTTTGGCGATGGTTAACACGGCTCGTGAGGTGCCGAGAAAAATATAAAGATGCTGACGACTATATCACACTACGTGGACTTCGCAACGACGTAGGCATTCAAGAAACATAGAACAAGTACCAAACAGTGTCAAATGATAACGAGCAAAGGCGCTCAATGTGGCTATTATTTACAACTTTTTACGCTGATCGGTCACCTGACGGAAAAACAAGACATCAGTGATAAGGAAGGGAAGGGTATTTCAAGGATTGCCGGGGTCCTGTCACATTCATACATCATATGTGTTTGGTTTCCGAGCTAGATAGAGCCCTCTGTACCAAAACTATGCATAAAGTTTGATTCAGTTTTGATTGCTCTCTCTACCACGCCTTCGTTACTCCTTATTTCTTCTCCACCTTCATATATATGCATATATATATATATATATATATATATATATATATATAAAGGAGAGCGACAAAGAGAGGAGAGAGAGATATGACCCACCCCGTTTTCTCCTATCCGATTAACGTTGCTCTAAAATCTGACTGGTACTATGCACTCGGAACAAAAATTTGGCCCAGTTTATGTCGCTTTATTTTTTTCATTGTCTAACTTTGAAAAACATGGACCCATATGGAAACGTTGAGTAATTTTTGGATAGTATCAAACCTTTGTTGCACGATAAAGAAGCAAAATTATCTGCCTGTTCTTCCATCGTAGTCAAAGCTACATCTAGACAAACCGAAAACAAGTAACTGTACATAAAAGTTGCTACAATCTATTATATTGCATAAGCACCGTGGGGGCTATTTGAGCCACTGTGTATATGGACCATTGCATATATGAGATTGTATGCCTAATATTGCAGAGAAACGGAACCGACTACGCAAACTCGTGAATAGAACTCAGCTTAGTGGAGATGTATGCATACACGTGTATGTATGCCAGCTTTAACTAACATGTCGCATTTTTTCTTGCCACATGTGATCACTTTTAAAAAACTTGATTAATTTTCGACAACACAGTTATATTGGGTTAACGGATGATCACAGTCATGGCTTAAAGTTCACTATGACTAATTATTTATTCGAAAACTATACGTAGCCACAATGGCTGTACCTAGTCTTCAGTGCGGCAATGTTGGCTTTAAAGAACGTTCTGGACATTTTTACGCTTCGTGTCCCGAGCAAAATGCAATATTTAGGTCGATCAAAAACGGCACAGCGGAATTTAATGTGGCCGTATGAAAGATGACTCATAACCTTTGACCTAGGAAACCTAACGCCTCGCGCGTTTTCTACCATCGATTAATTTAACTAATCTGATTCGTTGCTAATTTAATGTTGTATCCAGTAACGTTAAGTACGCAACAATCGTAACCGCAACGCGCACGTTACCTTACTGTACGTGACCCGTTACTCTGCCATAGTTATTTCATCAGCATATGTTCGCCAGAGACTCAGTAAACCATAAATTTGTCCCGCTTGTGGTAACTTGGCTTTTAGTAGACTCCTACAGTTTAATCGTGAGGCCTTTATAATGTCAGCTTCCGGGGCGCAAGTGAATAGGTTTGGCCATCGAGCGATCCCTGAAGGGCTGTAAGCTAATTAATAATAGACATTGCAATTAAAAAAATTAGTTATTCTATACACTCAGCATGGGTTGTAATTTTTTTTAAACATTATTTATTTTATTTTTTTGTAAAAAATACTATATTAAGCTTTCTTCTCCTTTATTTAAAAAAAAAATTTATAATTTCAAATAAAACTGAACATTTCATAATGTTTTGATTGGCATACTGATTCTAGTTTTAATCAGATTTTTATCAGTTTAAAAAATCGCACATTACGAATATAGAAGAGATTGATCTTGATCTTCACTAAACTTAAATATCTCGACTAACGTCTTATCAGAGAATGCTTAAGCTGTATCTTTGCCTTGCAAATAGTCAATACTATATATACAATATATACAATATACAATATATAAGCCGAATATAAATCCATCCATCAGCAGTAAAAAAACTTTATCCGATCCAACCTTTTTTTGATTTAAAAAATATTAAATATCCAAAAAATTTAGATGTTTAATATCATCGACGTTTTATATTATGGGCATTTTAGTTTAGATACGCTGCAATTATACAATGAAATCTACTGTTTTTCCATGGATCGTTTTTATTGTCTGGTATAAAGGTAGCACTGTGTCACAGCTAATATTTAATACCGTAGGTCGAGAACTGCGCCACAGTCTATCTAAATTGCATTTTCGTTCTTTAGGTCTAATTAGCAATACTTATGTCAGCCTATGTCAATGTACTCGTCAAAGTAATTACTATGACAGTAATTACTACTAAAATACGTCACAGCTTTCATTTGTTGGGACTATTGGGCTAAATAGTAAATTTCGGCTAGATCTGCCGAATGCGGTACTTGTTTTTGTTCGACTTGTTTCTGTGTGCTCTTGGGTTCTGATATGTTGAAACGAAAATTCACTATTCAGTGGAAACAGGCCCTGGAAAATGAATGATTCATATGAAGAAGATCTAGTAGGCAGTAGCTGAACAGTGCTTTACGATGCTTCGAAATCTATAGTTAGGCCTTGAGGGTGCAGTTGGTAGAAATGAATGTGTCCTAGTTCTAGGCGAACCGTCTCCAAATGCAGCTGAAAGAGGACAGCGACCAAACGACGTATGAACTGGCTGGAAATGTGTCGAGCAGTTATCATACGATAATCTTTGTGATCCTCAATGAGATATTTTGAAAAACGAAAATATTATTGCAGATATTTCACGTACTAACCGAGTATAACATTGAGGCATTATCGCTCGTGACGAAACCGTCACAAACACATAGGTACATAATGGAATTATAGCTCAACCCAGTGTACTTATTGAGTAAATTCTATTACGTTGTACTACTTCGTCCGAATATAGGAAGCGACTAAGGTATACGTTGTTAGAATTTCTTGCAGTAAAATGCACAGATACCTCAAGTGAATGTCCTAATAATTTTTATGAAATATAAGGTAAGTAATCTCAGTGTTTTCACTGCACATATTGTAGGTGTTCTAATAGGTGTTGTTGCATATAGCCACGGGCGGGATTTCCTGCCCGTTGCCCCTGTGAATCGTCGATTAGGGAACGCCTAACTCAATTTCCGATGGAAGTACTAGTGTTGCACATGCCAACTACCAAACCTAAATCATAATCGAGACCTAAATGAAAAACAAAATAAGATCAAGGTATAAAATCTGTGAAATGACCTCTGGACACATCGAGTAGCGAAGAAATTATGTAGTACAATGACAGTCTGTCTGACGACGCCAAGTATCACATAGCGGGATGTTTACTAGGCCTTATTCATAGTAGCTGCAATGCACCACTGTGTATTATGTATTTTCAGTCTTTCCACGTACGCAAATAAAAAAAATCTATTGAGTGGTAGCAGATTTAATCTAGCTTAGCAGATCTAAATGAAGCGGGAATCGAAAACCAAATTTCCATATATATATATGTATCTCGCTAAGTTCTGCCAGTTTTTTCGTCGTATCAAATAAACTCAAACTTTGCGGCCCACTTTCCCAAGAGAAAAGGCCTGAGGTCACAACGAAATTTTAAGTTTCAACTGCTGTTTTATATATATATATATATATATATATATATATATATTTAAACCGAGCGTGATATAATGAAGAAAATATTCATAATTCGTGTCCACGGCATTAGGGACGATTTGGATTACCATGGCATTGGACTGAAAGTGTTTAATACGTACCTGTTTATCTACCGCGAAATAAAAATTCAGTTTAAAAGGAGTATATTATTCTATAATATATATTCTAATAATTGGATTATCTTGTCACAATAAACCCCCCAAATGCTGTTAATCGTATACCTCCTCTATTATAGTTCACAGTTTGGATTATAACAATTGGCTATAACAATTTGTGTTTAAACGAAACTTGGGTGTTCGTCATGCTTCGGTGTTTATTAACATTTTTCTTTATCGTGTCGTTAGAAATGATACGACGATTATAGAACGATAGCTTATTATCAGCGATAGGTAGGGTTAGGTTGACTGGCGTATCCAATACACATAAGCAGTACATGCGATGTTTAGATACATAGTTTTTTTTTCCATTGCATTGATTCCACTCATGGCTTCTAGGATTTGAGTACAACGTTTATAACATCCCGTCACGCTGAAGGCACATCAGAGCAATAGCTATCGTATTTTCAGCATCAGGAAACTTGGTTTTTTATACGAGTGTTCTTACGATTTGTTATCAACCCGCAGTCGTGCTGGTTAGTCCTATTAATCGAATTGTCTTTATGTAACAATATCTACACACATTTATATCGTTGATCTATATAAATCAGGAATTGGTTCTAGTTTATTTTACGTAAACAAATCATAACTATCCGGTCCATCGTAGAGACACTAAATGTATTCACATTTAGATTTCTATACTTATATCTATACAAAACATTTCAGCTCATGGGTCATCATCAATACATTTAATGATTCAGATATTATTCTCTAATAAGTAGGCTGTCAACGAACAATTTTTCATAGCAGCCCAAAACTTCGATATAGTCAACGTTAGACGTATGATAGAGTCTGTACTTCAAACAAGCACATAATTGTACTTAACGCAGTGATGTACCCACAATAGCGAGCAATACTAATAATATAATAACATGGAATATTTAAAAAATATTAGATAATTTTTTTCATAATTTAGACAAACTCGTAAATAGCATTATTTCGAATGCGAGTTTGTTGGGAATATTCCTAATCTAGATCTCTGATAGATCGATCAGTTACACTTATCTTTTAAGCTATATCAGACAGTATTCAAAGAAGCGTATAGCTATTTCTAGATGGTCTTTAACGACAATAATTCCATTTGTTTCAATCGTGAAATACGTATTCCTTGTGCTCCGCCAGGCATTATTGACTGCTCATCGATACGCTTACTTCAAGTTTGCTTATTTCATGAATTACTTAAAGAAGTAGGTCTGCGTAAATATAAGCTGATCCTGGGTGTATTCGGGATTGTAGTTGTAGATGGCTTCACGGGCAAAAAAGTCCTCTCTCATGCGATGCTTCGATTTGCGAGTCTCGTTGACGAAGAACTCTGGAAAATCGATGAATGAGCACATACACAATTGGCTATAACAAAATAGAAGTTTGGGTGCTTTCTTCTTAATATGACGTGCTTCAATCTAATCTTTTCTTCGATCCTGCTATCCTGATCTGCTAGAACTGGCCCTGAGTAAGAAATATCAAAGTTAGCTATGCAAATACCCGATGAAGCATCTCTATGCATCTTTGTTATTATACTTTAATTCACGAACCGCCTGGTTCTAGGTAAGAAACAAAGTGGAACTTGCACGCTCAGACATGTATGTACAAGGTACGTAGACGTGTTAGGCGTCCAATACGGGCAAATGCAACTTCAAGGATACCAATAGTGTTGTAATCGAGATGGCGATTTCTTCAAACGCCGAAAGTCGTTTGTGACATTGGTTTAATAGCGTTGTCCTCTTTAGAACTGTAAATGTTGTGCATATGCTTTTATTAAAATTAACTTCTATTAGCAAACAATGGCATATGATGAACTGTGAAAATAAGAACGTAGAAATAAAGAAAGAAACTGCCAGGTTTGTAGTTTATTCCTCATGACAAAATCAGCCCCACTGGATGCACTTAGAACTGTTGTGGTGTTTGCTGTTATTGAGATTTAGCATTTAAGTTGAAGTGGTTCTAATGCATATATCTAGTAGTATCATAAAGAGTCACAATTGTCCGCTCACCTGCAAAGTATTGAGCTACTCGGATGGCTTCCGCGCTGTGAGGGATATTATTGTGATTGGCCCTAGTTGTCCACTCAAATAGATTCTTTTCGGGATGAAACTGGACGCCATAAAAAGGATAGGCCTTTGCTTCTAATGCCGAAACAAATTCGATCCCGTTAATGTCCTTGTTCGTGGCGAGCTGATTGAAAACTTTATTCACACCAGACCCAATGAAGTTCTGTGGCGTCAGACACCATCGATGAAAGTTGATAGTGGTGTTTTTGTGTGTCAGGTAGTTTAAAACGTCACCGGGCAAATTTTTACCAAATAGTCGACTTCTGTAGGTGTCCGGAAGAAAATGAAGGGGTTTAGCCTGATTGTGCGACTCACATGCCGTTAACACGTAGTCATCGACGCTAAGATAAATCAGCATCTCGAAGCCATTGCATATGCCCCACAATGGAAAATAATCGCCTGCCTCGTTACGCTGTTTGGCATAATCGTAAATCAACTGGCCGGCGCGGCCGTAGCCTGAGTTGTGGACATCGACATCTCCCCCAGGAAAAAGGACGCCATTTAGCTGATCAAGTAGATTGTGATAGTAGGAGTCGTTTCGATTGATGTCTATAGGCACCACACGAGCGCCGCCTGATTCCACAAATTTCACATACGAAGCTGCAATATATGGTTGCTGGTCCCACCGATCGCCAATGAACTCCTGAGTAAGAACACCGATCACCGGACGCTCGTAGACGTCGTAGCTACTAGCCAATGGCAAGCTCGTTAGAGCACCGTCAACAATAGCGAGAGCGAAGACGAAAAAAGAAGAAATTGAACTTCCTCTATAAAGAAACATTGCCAAGTTTACGCTTACCCTATTACTTGATCACTTTAATTTGTTGTTTGTCAAAGTATTGTAGAATGCCAAAGTGCCTATGTACCAATGTTGCCTTGGATAGAGTGTGCAAAGAATAAAGGCTGTACGCTGACGAGTGTAACAGACGTGAGAGGGGGAGACGCCGGGAATACAAGGAACGCAGCTGGAAGCCGGGCGAGATATAGTGGTAGAGGCTCTTACTACAGAGATTACAGAGATAATCATACGATGATTATACAGATTAAATCATGTGGCGACCCATTTGCCTGTTATGAGTGCGCATTGCAACCCTTAGTAGGGGATCAAGCTGAACATAAACGGTAAGTTTGCCATTGGCTAGAAATTTGTAGTCGGCTAGATATTTGATAACTGTTCCTTGTTAAACACTTATCAGGAACATTACAAAACACTCCTTCCGTCCCTTTTCTAACCAAATACAACGAAACGTAAATAAAACATATTTTTAAGATATAACATAGAAGTATATTTTCGCGATTATAAAGAAACGCAAAGTTTCGTAACGCAACCTAATTGTGAACGTACTAAATAAATCACGAAAACGATAGTAAGTTTTCGACGTCGATTGAGGAACCGAATTTTTCTGTCCTACGTGTTTCTGGACACTGGGACTGGGGATGAAAAAATTCATACGTCATAAATAATTATGACATCTGTATCCTGTCAAACGAAGGCCAGTAATCGTTGCATCTAATCTATATCATTCTAGCTTAAGTCCTGTTTCATAGACCCTATAGTTTTTCATCAAATTGCCGTTACCTAATTCCAACCTACGCCGGACAGTCCGCGTAACATGTAATTTAGTGTTAGGGGTATTATGTGGGACACAATGTGTAGGTTTAACTCTCTGATTTGCTATATATAGAACGTATATAAAAGCAACTTATATAAACACTGCTTCATTTACGCGGTTTAGATCGCTATATTTGCACCCTAGATCTTTCCAATCCCCCCTCCAATGCCAGTTTCGAAGAGCATCGACTAGATAGTAGACGGTAAACGTTTAAAAAGAATTAGTATTGACATAATGAAAAATTTTAAGCTCTGCATATGTATTTTTCCGCCATTCTTCCCATCTTTCCGCACCTAGAAATCACTGACCGTAAATTTTATAAAACGTCGATATTTCAGTACAATGTGTTTTCTCTTCAATTTGGCTGGTCAAGGACAATTCTGTGATCGACGAAAACAAATCGTAAAATGGAAGCAGCCTCTATTAGGACACGCAAATAAATCTGTTAAATTTTACGTCCGGCATTGGTGTCAAACGTCGCTTTTGACAGCTGGCTCCCAGCACAGAATAAAAAGCCTTTACGCCTGGTTTAAAAGTTTCACCAGCTGACGTGTGCCTAAATTTAATTGACAGGTACATTACTACTGCATCGTGACGGGAGCCTGCTTCAATAGAAAAGCGAAGCCATTCGCGCGGCTGGTTTAAAGCAGAAATATCCGTCACGAAATATGCTCTAGAAATACAAGATACGCTTCAACGACGCTCTTCATGACAGTGAAGAGTTACTTGGCAGCGCCAAATAATTTTCATTGACTATATATGTATGTTTTGTTTAAGTTTAGCGACACCTGCGTTCGGCTAGTTAAGTCTATATAAAAGAATAGATATTTTTCGTACGATGTTTTTGTTAACTGATCAGGATGATTCTCAATAACAACTGTATGAAATTAACACGTACTTAGTAATAGACGAAGGTTGGATATTATCAATCTGCTTCGTTTGGAAGTATTGTTAGACTGTATTATACAAATGGGGCATATGTGCTAGTTTGTTAGACTTTTTTTTTAGTAATCGACCCGTTAAGAGACCGTTCGGTAACTGTTTAGTAAGTGTCAGGTAAGTTGTTGAACTTTTACGAAGGAATTACGATTAATTTATGTTACTTATATAAGTAACTATTACATCCCACATTTACGCCCGCCATCATTCACTTCAACTTAAAGTTCAATTATTAAACGACAAATCGTAGTAAACAAGAAAAATTCCAGATCCTTATATTTTGTTTCGGTAACTTGATTATATATAACATACATAATATAACACATATAGAACATGTATAACATAACCTAGTTATATGTGCAGAATTTTGCATAGGTGTTAGTGAGCGAAGTTGACTACACCCTCGCCCGAAGAAGTCGTTGTAATTTGTCTGCTGGTAGAGTGCGACGATCGTCAACTTATATCTAAAGGCTGGCAAACGGCACCTGAATGATCGGACAGGTGGTGGGCAGATCTGGATTAGGATAGGAAAAACAATTTACACCTAAGGATAGCAGGAATTCTCCCGAATATTTAATATATTTATCAAATAACAAAATACAGAAGAAATAGTGAATTTGTTTGGAAACAAAGTAAAGCGGCCTTGATGCATCTCATACCTAGTGAAAATTAACTACTTATCATCCACTTAAATTTAATAAGTATAGAAAAATATAACTGTAAAGTTATAGTTATACTCAAAGTCTCCCAAGCTTGCCAGATTGTACTGCCGTCATCCGCTGCTATTATCTGAGAAGACCGATTCATAATGATGGCATGACATGACGTGAAAGCTTATACGGCGAAGTAATATGAAGACACGTCATTAATGGTGCACCGCGATCCACTGCACCCTCTCGTGTTATCGTTGGCGTAAACTTTAAAAGAAACAAAACTCACAGGCAGGCAGGTCTTGCTAACAACCTAGGCTCTCCAGCCTTAGCCGGAATCCCCATTGGCGCCAAACGGATTTTACTGTAGCTATTTTTTTCAATCTAGAAAACACTATGACATATGTTGAAGGCACTTTGGTAGCGGTATATCTTAACGGGAGCTTTTCATCGGCACTAGGGTGGTATAGCTGTTTAAAACTATATTTCCAGCTAGCGATCTATACCGAAGGAAACAACAATGTACGTGCATCGAAGCCCGAGAAACACTCTTCTGTAATGTATCCTAACGAAGCGGCAAACAATAGTCCTAACAAACCAAAATCGAATTTCCGGTTCTTGTGTTTATGACAAATCCGTATACAAAATGCCTTATGGTAATATTCAATATATGTATGCAGCTGAATAACTTCTAGTTCTGTTTATGCTTACGATAGTCATGACCTGTCGCTTTCGAAATGATCGACGGTGCTATTGTGAGGGTAAAACACATACGTGCCTTCGCTAGATGACTATAAAAAACAAGCGTTTGACCTCACGGATAAATCCTTTTGTGTGAAGGTGGATCTTATAGACCGATCGACCAGATCTTCTCATGAAAGCGACGACATTGATGTTTTTGAAGTAAAAAAGAGGCGGCCACATAACCAACATGCGGCGTTTGTTGCGTGCGACCCGATCATGACAAACCAGATCATCAAGTAACACCTCGCGACGTATGAAAAACAGGTGAATTCAGACATCAGGCCAATTGAAAATCTATACTTAAAAAATTGATTTGTCTGCTTGTTTTGATGAATGAAAGCTTCAATCTAACTGGACTGGTGTTTGGTAAATGTTGTGACAAGTCGTTCAATCGTACAATGCAAGACAGGCAGTAGCGATGAAAAAATTAAGGATGTTAATAAATATCATGTATTTATTATCGAATAAATCATATCCATTGCATTCTGCTAGACTTACCACGTAATGAAGTGGCCGTTAATAGTAAAACATTTGCTAAAATAAATCTTCAGTATTCTCTTATTCACAATGGCGTCTTCATTTTTAGTTCTATTAAAAATTCAAAAAAAAAAAAAAAAAAAAGCATGATCAATATGATTGTCTAACAACAGTATTATCGCTCATTCGGATTGTTCTTAGGGACAGTATTGCAGTAGCTGGAGACGATTAAGAACATGGTCAGACATTGCTTTTCGGTCGACATATACGGGCATTCTAGTCTGAGTTAGATACGACACGGAATCCGGTCAATATGGTTCGGCACACATTCGATACTCTCTTGCCTTCAGCGTAATTTCATTGTTGACGTGCCACGTTCGAAAGCACGCAGCCATACTTTGAATTTTCAGGCTTCTATGATGGCTGCTATTTTAGTGAGCTGGCATCGGCAACCCAATGAGGACTACGTAAATGATGATGAAGGATAAACCGACTTACGAATAACGATGTCGTAATATCCTGAATGGACCTAACAAATAACCATTAAGTAAGTTTCCGGTGAAGGTTGACGACCGCAAATGTTCCCTGAAGGTCGATGCGATGGCTGTGCATTCTACCATGACTTCAGGCCATGGGGTTAAAAATGCTCATCCGCCAATGAAGCATAGGACGCGGGACATGAAAAAATAACTGATTCATACGCAAAGTCATTTCTCATGCTCAGCGATGATAGCCGGTCAAACGAGGTAGCAATTAAACGGTAGCCGTACCGTAGGTACGTCTTCGCTTGCGTCAGTAATGTCATAAGGACAAATGCGGAAGGTTGCTACTATCTCGAGACAAGATCGTCAAGTGTTTCCAAGCCAGGCTTAACAGCTAGGACAATCCATGCAATAATACAATGCGTCCTGCAAGTAGATCAAATCATTGGATCTAATAATTCCAGTTTATCCACTTGATCGTTCTTTCAGCTCCGATATCCATTACAGACTTTGTACATTATTAAGATCACCTTGCCACTGCGTCTAGAATGCTGCTATGGCTGCAATATAAGAACAGTATCTATATTTCAGCCATTCAAGGATATACGGGCTTCTCTCATTCATTAGACATGGCTGCAAACATATCATCTGGAAGTAGCCAATTCGTGTTCGAGAAACAATGCGTGAGCGAAATCGAGCTTTATTCAAGCTGTTCGACGCTTTTCGTTTCGTCCGCTTTTGACAGACGTGGGAATCTATCGATGAGATTGGCCAAAATTCATAAAATCATCACGATATAAGCATGTCACATCTTCAATAGAATACGAATAGGGTTCGAAGAAGCAATAGCATCGGCGGTCGCTATCGTTCGACCCGAGACCACCCGTAAAGTGTAGGAAAATGGTCAAAAAAATGAATCCGCGCATCAGTTGCTATCTCAGGCCCACTGCCACTGACGCTGTCCAGTTAACCGAATATTGCAGGTT